AACATGAAATAACTCGCGCCGTGCACGAATGTGTCCATTCCGACGATGCTGCAGAGCCCGAGGCAGCCGCGGTCCCCGAGCCCAACTTTTTGGAGTCGGTGGATCTGTACTTCGACCAGGCGGCGGCCATCTCGCACGTGTCGCCGGATATTCTGGCGCAGATCAAGGCGTGCAACACCATCATCCGCGTGCAGTTTCCGCTCAAGCTGCCCGACGGCCGCGTCGAGCTCGTCGAGGGGTACCGCGCGCAGCACTCGCACCACCGCCTGCCCGTCAAGGGCGGCATCCGCATGTCGCTGACAGTGGACGCGGAAGAAACCATGGCGCTCGCGGCGCTCATGACCTTCAAATGCGCGCTGCTTGACGTGCCGTTCGGCGGCGCCAAGGGCGGCATCAAGATCGGTAGGTGGTGATGATCCGTGATCAGCTAAAGCTGAAATGTCGTACGTTTTTTCACTGAAAGCAGTTTTTGTGCCATGTGGCTAACTATCGATTTTCCTTTTTGTGGCGGTGCGCTCTGCGGTGTATCCCTTGATGTGCCTCTCGTCTCCCATCAGACCCGCGCAAGATCTCACCAGAGGCGAAGGAGGCCGTTATCCGACGGTACACGTCGGAGCTGGTGAAGAAGAACTTCATCGGCCCGTCCATTGTAAGCCGCTCCCCCGCTCCGAACTTGAATCGCTTGTCTTATCTCGCTCGGCTTGTCTCGCTCGTCTTGTCTCGCTCGTCTTGCTGTGAAATGCCCATTTATGTCGTCCTCGTGACTCTACGATCCTACTCGTGCCTGCTGTCTCCGTGACCCCTCATTCAATCACTCCCTTCTCCCATGTCCCCTCTCGATGCGCCATCAGGACGTGCCCGCGCCCGACTACGGCACTGGCCCGCAGGAGATGGCGTGGATCAAGGTGAGCCGCACTGCTCGCTGCACTCGTTTCTTCCCAATCTGACCAACCGACCGACCAACCGCCGCCGATGCCATGATCCATCTTACATCGCCCAACGCACTCGCTTCCACCACGTCTCAACCACCCTCCCTCCCGTGCTCACCGGATTCACTCCCTCCCCCACGCATCCTCCCACGGCCTCTGTCTTCCAGGACACGTACCAAATGCTCAAGCCCGGCGACCTCAACTCCTTCGCGTGTGTCACCGGCAAGCCTCTGGAAGAGGTGAGGCACCACCCTTCGAGGTGTAAGCGCGCGATGTTTCCATCATCGCTCACTCACTGAACGAAGTCATACATGCACACCTCAGCTGTGGATCACTCACCCGTGCCTAATCATCTACGGTTGCTTGCTTCCTGTGTGCACACCTGTGCCTGCAGGGGGGCATCCGAGGCCGCACGGCGGCGACGGGGCAGGGCGTGTTTGTGTGTCTGCGGGAGTTCTTCAAGAGCGGCAAGTGGATGGGGCGGCTGGGCATGAGCGAGGGCATCAGCGGCAAGTCGTTTGTGGTGCAGGGCTTTGGCAACGTGGGGCGCCACACCATCGACGCCATAGTGGCCGCGGGCGGCCGCATCGTGGGGCTGGCGGAGTGGAACGGCGGGCTGCTGGCGGCGCCGGGCGAGGCGCTCGACATGGACGCGGTGAAGGCGCACGCCGCGCGCACGGGGGGGTCCATTCTCGGCTGCGCGGGCGCCACCACCGTGAGCGACTCGGCGAGCATCCTGGAGGCGGCGTGCGACGTGCTGATCCCCGCGGCGCTGGAGGGGCAGATCACGGCGCGCAACGCTGCGCGCATCCGCGCCAAGGTGGTGGCAGAGGCGGCCAACGGGCCGGTGACGGCGGCGGGGGAGGCGGTGCTACAGGCGCGCGGCATCGTGGTGCTCCCGGACCTGCTGCTGAACGCGGGCGGCGTGACGGTGTCGTACTTCGAGTGGCTCAAGAACCTGAACCACATCCACTTCGGGCGCATGAGCCGCCGCATGGAGGAGCGCGGCAAGCAGCAGCTCGTCGACGCCCTGGAACAGGAAATGGCGGGCAGCGCGCGCTTCAGCGACAGCACGCGGCAGTCCATCGTGCGCGGCAACACCGAGGAGGACTTCGTGTGGTCGGGGCTGGAGGAGCACATGATCGAGGGCTGGGAGAACGTGGATGACATGGCCGAGAGCAGGGTGAGCCGTTCTGCTGTGCTTTCATGCTGCTATGCTGATCCCTGCCTGTACCGTCCCTTGTGATGCTGAAGTTATGCAGAAGCATTTTGCATGGGCACGGACCTTTCGTGTCCTCACAACTTCCTTTTCCACGTCTTGCCTTTCTATCTCTCCTGCCCCTCCCTCCTCTCCCACCACCAGGGCTGCTCTTTCCGCACGGCAGCATACCTCATAGCCATTGAGCGCATCGCTCGCTCCTACCACGTCAGCGGCATCTTCCCCTAGACACTCTACACAGATTGGATTGAAGGCTGCTCTCTCCCCTTTTAGTCCTCCTCTTCCGCTGCTGCTGGTTGCTCACTTCCCTGCCTGCCTCCAACTTCACTGGTCAACTCTTTCTCCGTTTTTGTCCTGCTACGACCGTACTGTCTACCACTGTACCTCTCTCTGTACAGCATCCAATTTTGTCAGCTGTGGGTGTGTTGCTGAGCTATGCACAGCACGGCTCTGTCCCCTCCCACTGTTCAAATTTGTCCTGAGTTTATGTCTCTTACTGGTATGTGCTTTGGATGGGGTTGTGTGTAGCTAGCTGTGAGCTTGTACAGCTTCTGCCATATCCTCATGACACAGCATGCAATTTTGTGGATGTGTACAGCTCTTTATTGCTCTTCATTGTTATTGCTTTGCTTAGTGAAATTACCATCTTTCAGATTGACCGTTTCAGGTAACATATCAGATCCACAGCTCTAACCTTTATATGCTGTGCAAGACTTCCAAGTTGGAAATAATACGGCTAACTTCTGCTTATGACAATAATCAGAGCTGGTAGGAGGTGATGAAATCATGCCAGTCAGCCGGTACCAGAAAATGTTTATGTTTAGAGAGACTCTCTCAGGTTTCATAGGCAAGCTTTCGACGAACGTGTTTATTCATCCAGTCTCCCCTTCCCAAGCCACCTAGCTTGGTTCAGAGTATTGATGAGACAAAACGTAGTTTAGGATAAATTCATAGACACACCAGTTTCAAATGAACGGAAGTGTATGTACATTATAATTAGTGTCCAGTCGAGGCCCATTACATGAACCACTTTGAAGTGACCTTCTCCAGCGAGCCACAATGTTGATTCAACCACATAGAACCTCGCAGAAGCACGCAGAAGAACGCGGGACCACAACAGCTCTTTACAGCTCTCTTGCTTTTCTAGACCACCACCACGAAGTTTTTGCTGCATGCATGCAGACCTTCTCATTGGCGCGTTGATGACGAAGATAATGCGACACGCATATATAAGATCGCCAGACTGGCTTTTGAATTGGTCAATTACAGTGCGACACGCATGGCGCCACTGAATTACAGGTCAATTTCAAACACTCGTTCTGATCGAAAGAAAGTTTGACGCGCTTACCCTGCACTTCCCCTCCCCCCTCCTCCCCCCTTCCGCCACTTGATGTCACCCGCGCTCCGCCTGGCGCAATCCTTCCCCGCCCCACTTTCCTCCTCACCCAACAAGCAAGAGTCACCACTCTGGTTTGACCCAGCACCTGGCACCCCTCTCGAGTGACTATCCCACATTCCCCAAACCCCAGGCCATTCCACCCTGCCTTCACCCACATTCATACCGACTAATCTAACCCCAGGCCGCCTTGGATTTCGTGAACAATAGTACCGCCTATGTGCTTTCGCTATGGCTCCCGTCTACTTGGAACGCGTCCGTTCGTTACTGATCGATACAGCGTGCTTTTCGCGGGGGTTTGGTTCTACACGTTCTGGAGGTTCCGCTAAGCTGATTCTATCTAAATTTAATCCCGGAAGGCTTATACAGCTATATCATCTCAAGAGGACGGATTTTCCGCATGCCGCGATTTGAGGATGATGGCGACCATCCGCGTGCGATATTGCGGGTGCTGGCGACTTACGCATGCGAATCCGACGATGCAGCTGACCACGTCCATAATCCGACGACGAAACGCGAATACGTCGTTTGATGGTCCATGATCTACACACATGGATACTCGCCATTCATTACGCATGGTAAGTCAAAGTTTATTTTCAGAGCGATTTTCCAGCGCTTTGTTTATTGAAATCCCGAGTATTATTATTATTAATTTTGTTTTCTTTAAATCTGAATGGTCACGGAATAATTCGGTTTGTTTTTTTTTCACTGCAGCGATAACTTGACCGCTTCTTTTTTTAGAAGCCAGCGGTGTGACGGTGATCAGCGTGACTTGACCTACGGAGTGACTTGCTGCGTGCGACGGAGAAGTGACGCTGCTGGCGAGGAGGCGACGCTGCTGGCGAGGAGGCCACGACGCTCGTGAAGTTCCTACGAAGCATTCCGCCATGGTAAGTTGAAGCAATGTTTCAGCATATTGAATTTCCGAGCATTGTTTCAGCATTCCTATGAAATCCCGAGTGATGTTTCTCGAGTTGCTTTTGTTCGTTAGCGACTGAATGTTCAGGCACTTATGCTGTCCGGTTTGACAACGGCTGCTGATCTTAATGAGGAGCAACGGCTGCTGATCTTGATGAGGAGCAACGGTTGCTGCTTGATTGGCGGAATGGCGCTGCAGATCCTACGAAGCTGCTGAAGAACGGAGGTTCAGCGGGCGCTGCTGCAGTGGAATATCGGGTGCTGCTGCCGTTGAGAACGGGCGCTGTTGCACCGGCGGAACGGCCACCAGAGGAACTTCCGCCATGGTAAGCTGAATCTTTTTTTTGAGTGCTTTGAGTATTGGAAACCTGAGGTATTCTTTTATTTTGTTGCCTTTTTACGAATCCGAATGCCTAGTCACTGATGCTGTTTCTTCTGACCTGTGCAGATCGGCGAGGAGGCGTCGCTGACTTGCGGCGAGGGTGCGTACGGAACCAAGCGATGACGCGAGGAACGGAGCTTGATTGGCGAGGAGGCGATGCTGCTCACCACTGAGGCGATGCTGCTCACCACTGAGGCGATGCTGCTCACCACTGAGGCGATGCTGCTCACCACTGAGGCGATGCTGCTCACCACTGAGGCGATGCTGCTCACCACTGAGGCGATGCTGCTCACCACTGAGGCGATGCTGCTCACCACTGAGGCGATGCTGCTCACCACCGAGGCGATGCTGCTCACCACCGAGGCGATGCTGCTCACCACCGAGGCGATGCTGCTCACCACTGAGGCGATGCTGCTCACCACTGAGGCGATGCTGCTCACCACCGAGGCGATGCTGCTCACCACTGAGGCGATGCTGCTCACCACCGAGGCGATGCTGCTCACCACTGAGGCGATGCTGCTCACCACTGAGGCGATGCTGCTCACCACTGAGGCGATGCTGCTCACCACTGAGGCGATGCTGCTCACCAATCATCCCGCCCTGGTAAGTAAATGCCGTTTGTCAGCCCTTTGCTTCTTGAAATCCGAGTGTTCTGTTTTGTTTGTTGTTTTTTTCCTTTTGAAGTTTTTGTCATTTCTGAATAGCCAGGGACTGATGCTGTGTGCGACGGCGGGCGCGGTGACGATGCGCATCACGTGGATGCCTGTCGCTCGTCACGTGATTGCTGGTGGGGGGAAGGCGGGGAGGAGAGGGGCAGGCGGGGAGGAAACTCAGCTTGGTGCTCCCTCTCCCTGCCTCCTCTCAGCTTGTACCCCAGCATACCCTGTCGTACCCCAAGTAACCCAAGGGACTGGTTGTTTGGCGTGATTCTGATCCCTTTTCATCCCTCCCCCTTGTCTTCCTCTTCCCTCCCACGTCCCCCTCCCCCCATTCCCCTTTCTCTCTCCTGAGTCAGGCGCCAGCAGTGTTCTCGTTGCTGCCATGAGCCACGAGCCGCCACAATGACTGCGCTCACTCCTCTGCTGCCCCCGCCTGCGCTGTGCTTTCCCCTGCCTTCCAAGTGGAGCAATGGCGGCACTCACCCTGCGCTGCACCACTCGCCTTGCCTGCGCTGCCCACCAGGTAAGGTGAGGACGAGGAGGGGAATGGAGTGGATGCAATGCGATGAGATGCGGAGGAGGAGACGAGGACGAGTGGCGCTCGTGTTGCTGCTGCGCTGGCCCGCTGGCTCATGCTTCCCACTCCATACTGCACCAAGTTTAAGCACGCTTGCTCTCAGATGCTCGTGTGTCAGATGCTCGTGTGTCAGATGCTCGTGTGTCAGATGCTCGTGTGTCAGATGCTCGTGTGTGGCTGTCTTGTTGTGCGTGCTGCTATAAATCGCCCCTCTCCTGTCGGCATCACCGCACGCATTTCCTCTCCCCATGGACGAGATGCGAGAGGAGGAGATCATTCACCTGCATTTGCTGCACTTCGCCCAATTTGCCCCCTCCCCATCTACCCTCCCCATCTCCCCTCCCCATCTTCCCACCCCCACTCTTGACCTCTTTTCTATTCCAGCAACGCTCTCCACTGCCCAATTCTTCCCCTTCCCCCCATTTTCCGCCTCCTCCCCTCTCCACCCTCTCTCGCCTCCCCATCCGCCTTGCGCAAACACAAGTGGCGGTGAAAGCTGCAGCGCAGGAGGCACGGCATCCCCATGCATGCCTCCACGCTGCACTCGCTCACTCACTCCCACCCCACCCACGCGCCCTTCCCCTCATGCTCTCCGCCTAGCTGCTGCTTCGAGCTGCACTCGATGACCAATGGCACACTTTCGTGCCTGGAAAAGTGCTGCGGTGGAAAGGTGCCTGGAAAGGTGCTGGAACGGCACTGCACTGATCAAGTACCTCTCGGTCTGCAATGGATGGGCCGTTGCTGTAACTGTCTTTTGCCTGGTGAGTCACCGTGCTATGCAAGATGTGTTGTGATGTGATGTAGGGGTGAGCACAGGGTGATGTAGTTTGAGATGTGAGGTGTCAGCTCAGCACGGGGTGGGTTGCTGTGGTGTTTGGCATACTCTCATTTAGACATGAGCAATGGGCGAACACTGAACATGTTCGCCCGAACCTCCACGAACATGTCTTGTGGGCGAACCGAACATGTTCGGTTCGCCCGAACATTTTTTTTGGCGATTTTAGGTGTTCGGTGTTCGTGATAGGGGGGCGAACACTGCATGTTCGGGGCGAACCCGAACATGTTCGAGGTTCGAGAGTGTGTTTTCAGTGGGCCAGCTCCTCCCCCGTCGCCTCCCCCCCCTCCCTTCCGAACATCGAACATGTTCGGCCGAACATTTTTTGCCAAAAAACATGTTCGGTTCGGTTTGGTCACGAACATGTTCGGACGAACCGAACAGGTGTTCGGATTTTTGCTCATCCCTACTCTCATTCACCTGCTGAGATGCCCTGCCATGTCAGATACGATGTGAGTGATGTCTCTTGAGAATTTAAGAGGAGGCAGAAGAGGATGATCAAGAACAGAGAGTCAGCTGCTCAGTCGCGGGCGAGGAAACAGGTGCAGTGCAGTGAGGTGAAGTAAGGTCCGGTGAGGTGAAGAAGGGTTTGCTTAAGTGTGGAAATCACATGTTTGTGTTCATACAGTGTATGTTTCGGCTGTAGTCTGGGGGAAACACTGTGGAAACACAAACATGTGGTAGAGATGGAGTTCAGGGATAGGGAGAGGTTGCTGAATGTTAGGGTACACAAGTCAGAGAAGGAACTGGATGAAGCGAACGAGGAGGCAGCAGCGGCGAGGGTGAGGGCGGAAGCTTTCGAGAGAGATCGGAAGGCAGAAATTGCAAGGCGTGAGGACGCAGAGGAGAAGCTAGAGAAAGGAAATCTGAGGATGAAGAGACTGGACGAGAAGGTGGAGCGGTTTGAACGTGAGAACGGCGGGCTCGTGGCTCTCAACAGTCAACTGCAGGAGAGAGTTTCAGAATTCCAACGGCTAGAGGCATTGCAGCAAGATGAAGCTAAGGAAAGGGACGGAAGGGTGAGTGACTGCAAACTTCTTTACCTTTCTACTTGTCTAATTCACCGCATCTCTACCTCTCTGCCTCTTTACCGTCCTGCCTATCTGCCTCTCCCGTCTTGTCCACCCTCTTGAACTGTTTGTGTGATGGAATAAAAGTTGAACAGCAAAGACAAGAGTGAAAAATGAGAGGTAGTATCTTATAAGGCAACCTACGCAACGAGCTAACCGTGCCCGTTGAGTGATCCTGTGAGTGCATGTAAACGAATGTGGTCAAGGCAAGCGACCTGGTGAACTGGCTCACCTACAACATCCCCCCTCATCTGCCTCCACTCATCTGCCCCCTCTGATATGCCCCCTCATCTGACCCCTCTCGTTTCCCCCTCTCATCTTCCCCCTTTCACCTACCCCCGCTCTTTTGCCCCCTCTCACATTCCTCCCGTTGCTTTTCAGTTTGTCAAGCTGGAGGCAGAACTCAATGTGGAACGGGAAGCGGCTGCGAGCATGGAGCAGTTGGTGCATGCCGAGACCGATCGCAGAGCCATCGCGGAGAGGAGCGTCGCTGCACTGCAGCAAGACGTGGAGCGCCTGCGGGCGAGAACGCAATGCTCCATTTTCCATTGCGCTCACCGGTCGGGTTCTCACCCGCAGGCGCTCCACGTCGTGCTGCAGTGCAGCGACGCTCCTCTCCGCGATGGCTCTGCGGTCGGTCTCGGCACGCACCACCTGCTCCATGCTGGCAGCCGCCTCCCGTTCCGCATTGAGTTCCGCCTCCAGCTTGACAATCTGAAAAGCAACATACAGTGTATGTTTCGGCTGAAATGAAACCCTTCTTCACCTCACCGGACCTTACTTCACCTCTGTATATGTTTGTGTTCATACAGTGTATGTTTCGGCTGTAGTTCCGGGGAAACACTGTGGAAACCACGTGTTTGTGTTCGAACTACAGCCGAATTCGAACTTAAGTGTGAACACAAACAATGTTTCGGTTGTAGTTCGGATTGGAGTTTGATTTTGAAACCTAATTGTATGAAAGTTCTACTCACTTTCTCGCTAGTAAAAGCGGTTCATTACGTTTCTGAACAATCGGAAGCGGTTTTTTAGCGGTTTGTTTAATACGGTCCAGTACGTTCGGGTTGAAGACGATTCTGAGTTTTCACTAACACAGACCGTTGCTTATCGTTTTTTGACGTACTTGACCTCATTGAACGAACCACGTACCTGAAAACGTGACCCACCCTAAGAGCGACGTCAGGTTGTACAACTTTTTGTACGCTCACTGTGATTCCCTGCGTTTCAGCACGGTGCAGAGCGTTAAACGTAAAAAACCAGTTTCCACCGTGTTTGACCGTCCTTAACCACGATACAAAAACTGTTAACATGTGAAAAATGTATAACCTGACGTCGCCCTAAGGCAAATTGTCATGGCACGTGTCGCGGGCTGTTCTTGTCCTGCCAAGCTCACGCAATCTAATTTTCTCCCCACTTATGACGTGAACGCCTGGCGTCCCCTTACGACGTTGCTGCTTCAGTTTCTGGCGCGAGAGGGGGGATGCGAGAGCAGAGGAGTGTGAGGGCTCGTTCGACGGCGTGAGGATTGAGAGCCGTGCCCGATCACCTTCACGCACCACCCTTTCTCTCGCTCACCTTCCGCCCTTCTCCTTCCAGGCGCGTCAAAAGGCGGCGATGGTGGTGGGCGGCGCTGCCTTCCGCCACCACGGACGAGGCGTGAGCGGCATGCCCGAATGTAAAAGTTTAGCGTAAGGAAAGCAAGAAAGTTGCGACTGTGATTTTCTGTGCGCTCGGAAGTGCGCGGGGACGAGCGCGCGGCGCTGCAATCCACCGCGACGAACGACGCGCGGTCGTCAGTTGAGGTGGACGCGGGGTTTTGGGGAGCGGAGGGCGCAGTGGGGAGGGGGAAAGGTCGCGGCGCTGCCCTTCGCCGCGTCGGTCGTGGGTGCATGCTTGCCCTTGCCTCCACGCCTCTCCGCTTTTCGTGCCAGGAGTGGGCGCGGGGCTTCTATGTGAAGCGGCAGCAGCAGGGGTCAGCGCAGCAGCACACACATCTGCTCTCCTGGCAACTCCCCTTTGCATTGCTGCTCCTCTCCACCAATCGCCCTCACCTCCTCTTCCTCTCCGCCTTTGTGGGCGGCTTTGGCACGGTGGTGTGGATAGGCGTGGCAGAGTATGTGGCAGCGACGCCTGATACCGTCGCCACCAACCACGTCGAGCACACGCTGCAGGTGAGAGTGAGGGCACATACTCTGTGCTCGCGGGTGAGTGTCTGTGGCTGAGTATGTGGCAGCCACACCCGATACCGTCGCCACCAACCAAGTCGACCCGCTGCACCTGCAGGTGAGCTGTGCAGCACCACACGACCCTGGTGGGTCTTCCACCGTGAAAGATCAGTGCGCTCTTCATTGCGCTTCCGCCTTCCTAAGTTGCCAAATACGCTCAACCCCTTCAGCGTATAGCGTATGTACGCTAGCGTTTGTACGCTATGCGCTATACGCCCGCGAATACGCTATACGCTTTCAGAACATTTTCCGGGCTGCCCGAAAAAAATATCGCGAAATAGTTGCGGAATTTCTAGGTGAGCATTTCGCCGAAGTCGAAATGAAAATCCGTGGTCTAGGCTAGCCGGGATCTGACTTCGAAGTTTTCAGGCACATTTGGCACAAATGTCGAATTTCAGATCTACACATTGATTGAAACCCATCTCATCTACCGCATTGAAACCCATTCCAACCCCAACCCATCTACAAACTCCAACCTCTCAAAATCGACCCCTAGCTGCTAATTCGTCATTTCACACGAATCATTCCCGCTTCCAACAGAGTTCCTCCCGCCCACTCCTACTTCTCTCTCTAGCTGAAATGTCTATACCACCTCCCGCCCCACCCGCCGTTCGGACTCAGAAGAATGCTGCTAGGGCACGTCATAGTGAGAATACGGAGTACGTTTTTTCTCACCCTGCCCGAAAAGTTTTTTCCCTGCCCGAAAAAGCGTATGTCCACATTGACCCCCTACGCGGATAGTGTACATACGCTAGCGTATATACGATACGCGTATATACGCTATAAGCGTATTTGGCAACTTAGCCGCCTTCCCGTTCCCCCCTCCCCTCTCCCTCTTTCCCTTCCCCACTCTCTCCTTTCTCCGCGTGACAGAAACCGATCGACCAGCCGGGGGTGGAACCGAGGTCGGTGCTGGCAGGCCCACACAGTGCGCACTGGTATTCTGCTCCACCCTTTCTGCTCTCCTTCACCCTTCACAGCCTCTCATTCGGCACTCGTTCCCCTGCTCCTTCCACATCCCCTATCGTTAAGACTATCCAGAATTAGCTCCCTCATTTGCCACTCATGCTCTGCTCCTTCCCATTCCCCACCACTGACAACCCTTCTGCTGCTACACCAGCCTTACGTCAACCGTCCCCCCTCCTATCAGGTCTTTACCCCAGTTTTGCCTTCCGTGTGTTTGTTGGTTTGTGTTTTTCCTTGTTGTTGCCTCATGGTGCCTTTCAAAACGAGTGCTCCTACTTCAAGTTGTTTTTTAGCTTTCCCAAACCTCCTCCTCCCTTCCATTTCCCGCTTTCTCCCTGCAGGCACCTAGACATGTACCGCTTCAGTCCTTTGCTCCCCTTGGTTGCTTTTCTATGCTCTCACTCGCTCGTGTGAAATCATTGCCATGCGAGCCTATCTGACCCCCCTTTCTCTTCTCCCAGGGATGCCAACACCCCCTCTTTTCCCCTCAACCGCTCTTCCTGCCACCCCCTCTGCACGCACGCATCTGGATTGGACGTGAATTGCGTCACTGGGCTGGCTCTCTTCCCTCCCGCTTCTCTGCCTTCTCTCGCCTCTCCTCACTCGTTCTCGGGCAGAACCAAGTTCCTGGTCGGCCAGCTTCCCTAAGAACTTGGCGCGCTCACCGGCCTCGTGACTCTGTGGGTTCACTTGCATGCGTGTTTGTGCTGGCTTGGACTGACTTGAGTTGAACACGCCCTCCTCACTCACTCACCCATCTGCACTCCATCATCCCCCCATCAACCCTAAACCTTGCCCCCGATCATCACTTTCTCTCTCCCCCCCATCAATGGCGGCCGCGGTAGGAGTGCGTCGCTCAGCGGGGGGGACGGCAGGCCAGTGGAGAGGGTGGGGCGGGCGGCGGAGAAAATAGCGCACGCGGTGGGGGAGGCGGGGCAGGTGGCGAAGCAGGTGGTGGAGATGTACGTGCGCCCCAACGCGCGCCCGCGCATCCCGCTCGGAGCCCACCATCATCAAATGGCTCAAGCGCTCGCCCATCCCCCAGCAGGTCCGCCAGCGTGGAAAGAGAGGGGAGTGAGATGAGCGAGAAGCGCGATGGGAGGGATGGGAGGGAGGGGAGAGTGGTGGAAAAGGAGCAGTGAGATGGGTGGTGCGATTCGTGCAGCAGGTAAAAGTGCGTCTGGGGTGCCGGGGTGGACGCGTTGCCACCATGCAAGCACACCCTTTTTCCACCGTCGTGGGAGAGAGGGAAGAGGGAAGAGAATAGACCAGGTCACGTGTGGGTAGCGACAAGTGTGAGGAATTGCAAGGCATGAGGGTGGGTGAAAGCAGCGCGGCTGCATGCCTCGTGCACGCACACTTCAACGGGGCCGTTAATTCTCCCTAGGCCCGTTGCCTCGCCCGTGTGTGGTGCGTGCGCGTGGCAGGTGCACGTGTCGCTAGTGTTCTGTCACTTGTGCAGGTCGAGGAGGCAGAGGTAGCTATGAGGAGGCAGAGGTAGCTACGAGGAGGCAGAGGTAGCTACGAGGAGGCAGAGGTAGCTACGAGGCGGTGGGATGACGCACGGCCTGGGCATGCCCTGCTGACCACCGCTGTCCCTGCATGCACCTCCCAGCAGCAGCAGCAGCCTTGGACATTGTGCCTTGGTTTTGGTTTGGACATTGGTTTTGGTTTGGACATTGGTTTTGGACATTGGCTAGCTAGGCAGTGCCCTGAGGCAAACGGGCAGAGGCCCGAGTGTGTGAGGCACACGCGGCAACGGCAGGGGCGAGCTCGACTGGTGAGTGCATGCTTGCAGCAAGGTGTGTGCACGAGTGAGTTGCTGCAGCTCCTTCAGTAAGAAGACCCCACCTTGCTGCAGACAGCAGCACCTCCAGCGTCCACACCCACGGTACGTCACAACATCTTTCCTTGTTGCTGTCATTGTCTCTTTTCTCCTCGTTCCGTTAAGTTCCTTGCTTGTTCACGGTCCCTCGACTTATCAAGGTGCTTGTTGTACCATGCAGCACACTCAACGCAAGCGTGTGCAAGGGGAGGGGAGGTGTATGGGCGCGTGGCTGAGGTGGACGGCGCATGGCTGACGTGGACGCGAGCGTGTCGGGATGACGCTCGGCCGACAGTCACAGGCGTGTGGCTTCCTCCCACCCGCCTTGCTGACCTCGTGTTTGGAGGCAAGGCACGGAGGGGCAGACGAGGAGCATACGAGGTGGAGTGGAGTGATGGGTGGGTTGCTTGATTGGGTTGGTTTGCTTGATTGGGGGTTCCTTGATTGGGGTGGGTTCCTTGATTGGGGTGGGTTGCTTGATTGGAGGAATTTACGAGGAGCCAGCGCTGCGGACGAGGAGGAGGCGGCACTTCAGGTGTGGAGGCGTTGTTGAGGCAGCGCTGCCGGTGGGGAGGAGGCGTGCATGGCTAAGTTGGTCATTTACGCCATTTCAGCCCACGTACACGTAACGTACGCGTACATGTACGTTTACGTGTACGTACGCCGGGCAGGTCAAAAAAAAAATTCTGGATGAAAAATTTCTATGAAATCGGTTTCCGAAAACCTAAAAAAGAAACAAGCTTTCGATGACCTATGCTCTGTTAGCGTGTTAGTAAAATGGCGCGACGTTTTTCAAGGTAGTAATGTAAGAAACAAGAAGGTTGCTAGCTAGGGTTGCTATGGTGTGGCGACTACTCTACGTACTATGTCGACTAAGGAGGTAGAACTACGATAGCTACGGTAGAACTACGATGTCGACAAAGTCTGTCGAGAGAGGGAGGGAGGAATTGTGGTCGCGAACGTGTACAAACTGTTCGCGATAGAACATTGCGAACTGTTCGACTCAGCTCGTGATTGCTTCGCTTGCAAGGTAAGCAACTGTCACCCGCTCGGCAGTTTCGTCACCGCCGAGCTTCACTGGTTTCGGCGAATCCCAACTTCGAGTCAAACCAATTCGCCGATTCAAATGTAAATTTACATCGAGCGACTTTCCTGCACCTTCCGTAACACGCGCAAACGCGTGCCTGCACCTTCCGCGAGTCATAACCGGAAACTAACAATGCGATTCAACGGCAAAGAACTATTTTGCAGCTATAGCTAGTAAGTATAACAAAAGTCACCACGCTTAACCAACAATCACAGCTAGCTTATCAATCTATCTACTCAATCAACTCTCCAACAGATTATACTAGTACTATGGAGACCCCTATGCAGACCTCCGAGCATCCCGTGTGGCGATGCTTCATTGTTTCTGAGGGCGGAATGTCTGATTCTACGCTAGCGAAGAAATGCAAGCGATGTGGTAAGTCGTGGAAACTGAATGTGGCGCGAGCTCAGGCACACATTCTCGGAATTCCAGGGAGCGGAATCACGGCATGCGCCTCAGCTACACCTGAGGATAAGGAGAAAATCCGTTCCGCGATGGATGATAAGAGAAGGGACTCTAATTCTCGCGAGAAAGCGCAACAGAAAACGTCCGATGCATTCTCGCCATCGTCTACTACGAACACCAAGTCGGCGGGCATGGGGGCGAGTGGCTCCAACATAGCGGAAAGTAGCAGCATGGCGCGCAAGAGACAGGCGACGCAACGTACGCTTATGGATACTCGCCCCAAACCCGTCGACGCGGCGAGTGCGCAACTTGCCATCGCAACGTTGTTCCACGTGTGTCGTATTGCACCGAATGTTGCGGAGCACGATGCTTTCAAGACGATGCTGAAAAAGGTTGCTGCTACTGGTACAGGATTTACACCTCTTGGACGACGGCTAATAATGGGAAGATTGTTGGAGGAGTGCAAGGCGAACACTGACAATGCGTTGAAGGAGGTGAAGGATTCATGGAAGGATGTCGGGGTGTGCATCGCGTGTGACGGTTGGACCGACAGCGAAGGACGTCCGCAGCTGAACTTCTTAGCTGTCAATGCGATTGCATCCGTATTTCTTTTTGGGGTGGATTGCGGCACGGAGAAGAAGGGAGCAGAATTCATTGCTGGCCACTTGAAGACGGCAATGGTCATGGTGGGAACGGAGAACGTAATCGGCTTGCTGATGGACGGTGCGTCCGCGAATGTCAACGCTGCCAGCATCATCGCCCTCGACTACCCAAAAGTTCAGTGGATTCGTTGCGCTGCGCATTCTCTCAATCTAATGATGAAGGACATTGGCCAACTCGATTGGGCCAAGGATACCATCGACCGCGCGCAGCAGCTAATTTCAACGTTGAAGAACGCGCACTGGATTACGGGGGTTCTTCGGAAGGAGAAGGCGCTACAAATCTTGAATCCTGCGGGCACTCGTTTTGGAACAAATTACATCGCCCTCGAACGCCTGCAAGCAGTGCGCAAAACTCTCGACAAGCTGGTGCTGAGTGAGGATTGGGAGGAGTACGTCAAGGGAAAGCCGAAAATGAAGGACGCATGGGATACTATTATCGACAAAGAGTTCTGGGCGCGCGTTGGGACGGTGCTCGATGTGCTTCGTCCGGTCTATAAGCTGTTGCGGAATGTTGACGGCAATCAGGAGGTGATGGGCAAGATCTATGACAAAATGTTTGTTTTGGAGGACGCGGTGAAGGAGGCGTGTAAGGAGCTGACCGAGGAGGAGAAGGAGGATGTGACCGACATCGTGCGGAATCGGTGGAACAACGACATCAACTGCGCGCTTCACGTGGTCGGACGGATTCTGTACCCGCCAAACCAATACGAGTCAATATTTGGAACGGACGTGGAGTGTACCAAGATCTTCAAGCAATTCATTCGCAATTACTACAAGGGTGAGTTCGTGAAAATGGGAGGGGTGATGGCGCCACTCGCAACCATCGTCGAAAAAGAGGTCTTGACATACACCAAGGGGAAGGGAGACATTGGGGAGCAGAAAGCGCGTGATGAACGTGAACTCATCAAAGCTGGGCTTTTGGATTCGGCGCATTGGTGGGAATTCAATGGCACGGACGTGCCCCACCTCTCCAAGCTTGCAAGGAGAGTTCTCAAGCAATGCGTCTCAGCCTCCCCTTGCGAGACGAATTGGGCCGTTTGGGAGTCAATCCATACAGCTCGTCGTAATCGCCTTGGAGCGAAACGTCTTGCCGACCTTGTGTACGTGAGCCACAACTATCACACAGTGAAGAAGTTGAATGAGGATCTTGCTAAGAAGCTGGTGGTGAGTGGGCTTCCTGTGATCCAAGTTAAGGAGGAACCTACTGACAGCTACGGGCATCTCGATGACGACGACATCCCTGATGAGGCATATCTTGATGGCCAGGAAGCGAAAGAGCCGAGGATGATATGATATTCTGCACGACGCGTGCATGATGGTACTTTTGTTATTTGGGAAATTACGAGGTTGTAATGGAATGTTTACACTATATGATGGAAATCATGATTACGAGGGAGTACTGTAACAAAATATATACATACTTGGGCAGCCCAGAAATTTTTCCACCTGCCTGTACATTAGGCCTCCAACCCAACAGCCGCGTAAACGTACGTACCCGTACACGTACGTACGTAAACGTAAACGTAAATGACCAACTTAGGTGCATGGGGAGGCGCAAGGGCAGAGGCGCTTCACTCCTTCATTCCCTCTCTCATGCGTGCGCACAGGAGTGAGTGGAGCGAGGAGGTGGCACGGTTGGGAGCGCGGCGGGGAGCAGAGTCGCCTTCCCTTAATCATCTCTCTCCTAGGCACGCGGGGGAGCGAGCGTGTTGGGATGACGCATGGCCGGCAGTCACAGGCGCGTGGCTGCCTCCTACCCGCCGTGCTGACCACGTGCTGTTGTGTCTTCTTTCGCTTCGTTCGCTTCCTTTCTTGTTCACGGTTATTCACTCACCACCTTGCTTGTTGTTCCATGCAGAACACTCAAGGCAAGCGCATGCAAGGGGAGGGGAGGTGTATGGGCGTGGCTGACTTGGACGCAAGCGTGTCGGGATGACGCTCGGCCGGCAGTCACAGGCGTGTGGCTGCCTCCTACCCGCCCTGCTGACTACGCGCTCGGAGGCAAGGCATGGAGGAGCAGGCGAGGAGGCGGCACTTGGGGCGAGGAGGCGGCGAGGAGGCAGCGCAGTAATGAGGCGTCTTTCTCCCACGTGTGCTGGCTTCTCCGCTACGTCCATGAGGTGAGGCGGAGGAACGAGATGGAACGACTGACCTAAGTTGCCAAATACGCTTGAAGCACTTTGCGTTTAGCGGATATACAGCGTTCACACGCTAAACGCTAAACGCAAGCGAATACGCTATGCGCAATCGGAAATTTTCTAGGCCAAAAAAGAATCACGAATTAGATGCGAATTTTCTTGGTGAGCATTTCGCCAAAGTCCAAATGCAAATCCGTGATCTAGGCAAGCGGGGATTTGACTTCGAATTTTTCCAGACACATTTGGCAAATCGAAAGTTGGATTTCATATCTACACATTCAAACCCATCTCATCTACCGCATTGAACCCCATCTCATGTACGATCTCCATAATCCTCACGCTTCTTACCAGCCAGCCCAACTGCTCGTCATTTCCTAATCATTCCCCTTCCGTCCGCTCCTGCTTTTCTCTCAAGCGCTATTGTCGCCTCCACTTCCCACCCCACCCACCTTTCTACATCAGGAGAATGCTAGGGGACACCTTAGAATAGGGAGGACATTTTTTAACCCTGCCCGGGTAGATTTTTTCCCTGCCCGAAAAAGCGTATTCCTAATTTGAGACCTAAGTGTGTAGCGTATAAACGCTAGCGTATATACGATACGCATATATACGCTAAACACGTATATGGCAACTTACCGATTGACGGGCTGGCTGAGGCGATGCTTGGATTGGAGGGGATGCTGTCTCATGGGGATGGGGAGTCACGCTAAGGGAACCTGACGGCTTGATCCTGAGTGGGGTGGGGCCCTCCACGAGGGGGCAGCGCGCCGGCAGTAAGAGGCGTCTCTGCATAATCCCCCTCTTCCACTCCCTTCAGCTTGGCGGGTAGCGTGTAGACGACATGGCAGTAGGCACGAACGGAGGTGAGAATGTGGACGCCATGTTTCTCGTGAGGGAGAAAATCTCGGCCATGACACAATAAAAGGGTACCAGGCATGCAGTCTGTAGGAGACATCAAGTTTGAGGTCTATGAAGGTATAAAGGTGAGCAATCGTGTTAGAGTGAGGATCATTGCAGATGACGGGCGGCACGAGTTGGGAAGCTACAAGAAGGCTGAGGGTGGACGGGTGTCGGAGATCGAGCACATCCTCTTCTCGCTGGAGCTGCCGATCGCCCACGTATTCATCACGCCGGAGCAGTTCTTGGCGGCCGCCAACATGCTCGAGAAAGATGAGGGAAAATCGTGGGCTGACGTGGTTGAAGAACTGACAAGAGCTAAAGTGGTTGAACACAGCTCTTGTCAATTCTTCAACCACTTCAGCCCACGATTTTCCCTCATCTTTCTCGAGCATGTTGGCGGCCGCCAAGAACTGCTCCGGCGTGATAAACACGTGGGCAATAAGCAGCTCCAACGAGAAGAGGATGTGCCCGATCTCCGACATGCGTCCACCCTCAGCCTTCTTGTAGGTTCCCAGCTCGTGCCGCTCGTCCTCTGCACTGATCTTCACTCTAACACAATCCTCCACCTTGGTACCTTCATAGACACCAGACCTGATGTCTCCCACAGTCTGCATGGCTGGTACCCTCTCATTACGGTCATGCCCGAGATCCTCTTCCTCACGAGTTGAAAAACATGTCGTCCACATTCTCCCAGCTTCTTTCCTTATTTGTTTTGTCTGTTTTTTGCATTACATGTATTCGTCGTACCTGTTTCACTTGATCGTGTGTTCGTCTTGTGTTGTGTTGGCAGTTGGCAGGTGTCCAAGACTACCGCCTTTTTTTTCAGAGCTCTTTTAGAACGCCCAGCAGGCAGCAAGACAAGAAATTAATCTGCTTCATTCTCCGTGCCTGCCTCCGTGCCTCTGTTCCCTCCACCCTTTCCCCCTTCCACCAGGAGTGGCTCACCGGAGTGGTCGACCACGTGGACGCTCTCCTCTTCACGGTCTGCAAGTCCCTACATTTCCTTGTATCCCACCCCGCTGTGTGCCTTCCCCACGCTCCTCCCTCCACCCTTTCCCCCTTCACCAGGAGTGGCTCACCCGAGTGGTCGACCACGTGGACGCTCTCCTTTTCACTGTCTGCAAGTCCTTCGATTCGCCCTCTTACGCCGTTGTGAGTCACTCCAGCCAGCCCTTGCAAATTATCAACTTTTTTTCATTCTGTGCTGTGTGAATGTTTGGTGTTTCATTTTTTCGGTCACGCATATTCTGATATCCACGTGCAATATATTCTCCCTGTACCTTCCCAGCGGGTTTCCCCTTCTGCTGATTTCTTGTCCATCTTTGTTCCCATCCTTGTCCCCTCTTTTGTCACCACGATATTCGTCAGACAGTAGACGCGTATGAAGTGATGAGGTGGGTTTGGAGACGGCTTGATGCATATGCAGCCATATGTGCCTACTTCTCATGCCATCCTTCCTTGCCTCTCTTCTCACTTCACCACCCCATTGCTTCAGGTGATTGATGCATACGCAGTGATGGACGATGCGGCCACACTGGCAGACAAGGTGCAGAATTTCTGCCGTTACATGCACCTACAACACACTGCTGCAGTTCCTGGAGCAGGTACGTCACTCCACATGCCATTGCCGTTTGAGTAGACCCAAAAGCCAGTTCTCCCAGCTGGTTGGTTGTCACCTGCACCTACGACACACTGCTGCAATTCCTCGAGCAGTTACCCTGCTTGGCATGCGATTGCGAGCACTTGACTGGGTTTTGCATTGTCTTAGAACCGAGTACCTGCGCCCCACACGCAAGTACATTCATATCTCCCCTCCCACCTGTTGGTGCGTCTATCGCCCCTTGGTACTTGTTCAACCAAACCCGGTTGTTCCCTCTCTGCCCTGATCTTGTTTGTTGTGCAGGCGATGGGGGAAGGTGATGTGAGGCTGTGAGGAGCGAGAGAGAGGATCATGCATCTCATAGCCGCTTGCCGTGTGTGCGGCTTGTAGTGCTTCGTTTCTTCCTTCTCCTGCTCCTGGACTTGCACAAGTTTACTTATGTTCAAAAGTTCAGTTTTCTCTGACAAATCAGAGTAACGCTCAGAATCAATTCTGAAATCCAAGTATCGGTAGTGAAAAACGAAAAAAAAAACCCCTGGATGCCGTACATTATTCCATGCAAATCAATCAGGAACATGCAACAGTGACTAATTCCTTCTGACATGGCAACGTATCCTTTCAAACATGGAACATTGCCACTTGGGCAATGTTGTGTGCTGCAGAGGCAGCACCAACAAGAGACTCATGGGGAGTTCCTACCCACCCATCAATACAAAAACAGCATGGAGAAGTTTGAAGGATTGCTTCCTGTTGTGCTGTGCTGCGGTGTGCCATATGCAGTGTCATTCTCAAGTACCTTCCTGCCCTACACCCAGTTGCTGAGCCACACCCCCTTCCTGCAGGTTCAGGTGCAGCACCACTGTCTCGCGCACTCCCCCTCCCCTGGAGCCGAGTACACGCCTCCCTTTGCCTAAAGCCGAGTGCAGGCGAAGTCAAAGTCGTCCGGAGCGAGCCGCGTGAGCCAGTTGCTGAGCGTGCTCTTGGCGCTGAGCCTATCAGACGCCCCCAGCTCGTACATGGAGCACAGGGTGAGCACCACTGTCTCGTCGACAGCTGTCAGCGGGCTCGCCTGCAATTGGTCCTCCAGCACCCGCACCGCCGTCGCAAGATCTCGGCCGTACATCAGGCAGAGGGCCTGATCAAGAACAAAAGGCAAGGGGATGAAATGGTAGGTGGAACCATGTGAAGGGTAACTTTATGACAATACCGCACCGATGAAACTCGGTTACAACACCAAATGTAACCTGTGAGACGCCTTCTGCGCTGCCTGACTCACCTGGCTATCCCACCATGTAACCTGGTTACCACATTGCCTCACTTGGCCTCACCTTGTTGTTGGTAGGTCCTCGTTGGTGCCAGCAAAAGAGAGCAGCTGCAACGCCTGCCCGTGCTCAGTGCCTTGTGCATTGGCTGACTCACCAGGCTATCCCACCAAGTAACCTGGTTACCACACGACTCACCTTGCTATTCGGAGCAATGGAGTTCGTATGATCCTCCTTGGTAACAGCACCCAGCACAGCACACAGCACATAGCACACAGCACAGCACACAGCACACAGCACATAGCACATGCACAGAGCACAGAGCATAGAGCACAGAGCACAGAGCACAGAGCACAGAGCACAGAGCACAGAGCACAGAGCACAGCACACAGCACATAACACAAAGCACATAACACAAAGCACATAACACAAAGCACATAACACAAAGCACATAACGCAAAGCACAAAGCTGACTGCACAGCATATAGCACAGCACACCACAAAGCACACTTGCTGAGCGCACCTGCTGTGGGGAGTGTCACCACCACAGATGCAACGGCATGATGCAGAGGCAACGGCATGATGCAGATGCAACGGCATGATGCAGAGGCAACGGCATGATGCAGATGCATGTCAGCTGAAGTGCACATCCCCTGTCAGCATAGAGTGGTGCCACCATACCACTCATGTTGAAGACAACACGAGTCAAAAGCAAGTCCCCTCTGCTTCAGCTGCCCCCTCTGCTCTAGCTGCATGCTCCGGCCTGCCAATGACCCAAGGAGAGAAGATGGATTCCGATGTAAATGAATATGCAGCGCGGTGCAGCGCGGTGAAGCACATGTATTGGGTGCAGCGCGGTGAAGCACGGTGAAGTGTGACGAACGAAAGCGGCTCACCAGTTCCGAATGCATGCGCGGTCTGAAGTGGCCATGTGCGGTGCAAGGCGCAAGCGACAGGAGCGAATGCGGTTACACATGCGTTGGCCTGCCTCAGAGGGGAGGTGACGTGGCAGGGCGTCAGAGGGGAGGTGACGTGGCAGGGCGTCAGAGGGGAGGAGGTGACGTGGCAGGGCGTCAGAGGGGAGGTGACGTGGCAGGGCGTCAGAGGGGAGGTAACGTGGCAGGGCGTCAGAGGGGAGGTGATGACGTGGCTGAGCGACGGCGTGCACGGCCCAGAGGGGAGGTGACGTGGTGGGGGAGCGCGCTGCACGGGTGTCAACTGTCTGAACGTGAGCAGGGGAGAGGGGAGGTGAGATTAATCCGAGCCCGTCGCACTGCGCCGATGCGCGTCGCACTTTGCCGATGCGCGTCGCACTTTGCCGATGCGCGTCGCACTTTGCCGATGCGCGTCGCACTGCGCCCATGCGCGTCGCACTGCGCCCATGTGCGTCGCACTGCGCTTCGAACTGTTCTTCTATCGACAGCCGACCCAACGCCATCGAGGTGATGACGCGAAGAGGTAACCGGCGGTGGCGAAATTGAACCGCCACGATTCGAAGGAGAGCGACCATTATGCCGTGAAGCTTTTCATCCGATGCGTGTGATGTGATCACGGCCAGAAACTATTCCAACAGCAAGGAGAAACGAGATGACGGGGGGTTGATGTGATGAGGTGAGAATCAGCAGTAAGGTAACGCAATGTGAGCGGGGGCATCGTGAGTGGGAGAATCGTGAGTGGGAGCATCGTGAGTGGGAGCATCGTGAGTGGGAGCATCGTGAGTGGGAGCATCGTGAGTGGGAGCATCGTGAGTGGGAGCATCGTGAGTGGGAGCTTCGTGAGTGGGAGGAGCATCGTGATTGGGGGCAACATAACGCAATGTGGTAGTGTGCTGTACTGCGTGCTGTGCTGTGTGCTGACTATAACGGGTTTCCAAAAACCATTCGGAAGAGCAACAACAACACAGCCGCACAAAGGCGACGATGTTGTTGTTCCCGTGTCCGCACAGAACCAGCCGTTCAGTTGCGCGTCCGCTCGCGAGTAGCAATTTCTTCATCCGATCGACGTAGGCGAACTGCGAATTTGTCTCAACGAATCAACGTCGTCGTAGTCGTCGCGCCGGCGCGGCGCGGTGCAACTGACTCCCATGGCCTTCAGCAGTGCGAACCGCCGCGACTGCAACGGTCACATTCACAACCACGGTAGCGGTAGTCGCTGCGAGAGCAGCAGCAGCGGCGAGAGCGAGCAGTGGCGGCGAGCGCATGTGCGCGGAATGCTGCGCGCGCCCATGGGTTATTATTTTCACTAGTTGACTCTCGTCCCTTTGCTAAGGGTGACTCCGCCTACTGCTGCCCTTCGTCATGAGCTCAGATCAGTGGCGGAACGAGCAGTGGCGGAGAGCGCATGTGCGCGGAATGCTGCGCGCACCCATGGCGCGCGCGCGCGTGGTGTCCATCGACGACCTCGTCGTCTCCGCCCGCCACCTGCCCCGCCCGCCGCTGGATACGAGTCTGGGGGGGGGCGCGGGGAGGGCGAGGTGGGGCTCCCCTGCTCCGCGGCCCGCTGCCGCGCTGCCAGCCACCTGCCAGCGTGGCAGCACCGGGTGTGGGGAGAGTGACGTGGAGAGGTGGGGCATGGTGTGTGCGCGCCACGTGGCGAGTGGGCGGCAGGTGAATGTGTTTGTGTACACCCACCCACTCATCCACCCCACGATGCACCCCAGCATCAGCATGCGACGGCAGTGCCCCATCCCCCAGGGACTCTCAGAGGGGGCGACCTTTTCTCTCCAAAACGCCCTGCTGCTGCCCGCCGCAACCGCCTCTGCTGTCAGGTAGCACCCGCCTCTGCTGTCAGGTAGCACCCGCCTCTGCTGTCAGGTAGCACCCGCCTCTCTTCCCCCCTTCCTGTGCATCAGAAGCTGTGCTGCTCTTGCCGTGTTAGCCTCTCTCACTCCGTAGCGCCTTGGCCTGCTGTACACTACAATCTCTCTGCTGCCGTGCGGTTCCACAATGTGGAATGGAAGCGACATGTCGCTGCGGTAGCTAATCTCTCTCTCTCCGCCCTCCACGGCCCAGCTCAGGTGACCTTGCCATCTGCCGCGGGCCTGCTGGGCTGCAAGCACAAGGGAATGCATCGAATGATGCAGCACATGACAGCAGGGGCGGTGAGGGCGGGCAGTCAGGCCAAGAGGTGGTGCGAGTGCGGATGGTCGCTTGCTCCCACATGCTGCTGCTCTCCCCTGCCCCTCCTCCCCCGGCCCCTCCTGCTGATGCTATTGCTTCTGCGACTGCTACTCCCCCTCCTCCTCCTCCTCCTCCTCCTCCTCCTCCTCCTCCTCCTCCTCCTCCTCCTCCTCCTCCTCCTCCTCCTCCTACTGGTTTCAACCATGTTCCGCCCAGGCTCCCCCCACAGCATTCTGCCACAAGTGCAACCATGCCTGCTGCCGTGCCTGCTCCCGTGCCTGCTCCCATGCCTGCTGCTGCAGCAGCGACAGAGGGTCGAGTGAGAGGGGGTGGTGTCGGAAGGAGTTCTGATTGGGATAGAGCGGAGGGGGTGCAGGAGAGATGGCGCGGTGACATGGGCGGTAGAGGAGGGACGAGGGTGGAGGAGAGATGGTGCAGTGGCATGGGAGGAGGGGTGGCAGGAGGAGGTGTGGGTGGAGGAGGGGTGGCAGGAGGAGGTGTGGGTGGAGGAGGGGTGGCAGGAGGAGCGGGTGGAGAGGGAGTGCGCACTCGATGCTGGGTGAGAGCGGGGTGGCAGTTGGGGAGTTGGTTCATTGGAGAGTGGGTGATGGTGCTGCTGTATGGAGCATGTGTGTGGTGTTTGAGTGTGTGGCGTTAGAAAGTTTGGTGTTTGAGTGTGTGGTGTGGTGTGTGTGATGATAGCCCAGTGTGGAGTGGAGTGCGGTGCTTCATGGGTTACTCACATGTCTGAAAGTGTTGTTCCCTTAGCCTTGCCAGGGCAGATGCGCTGCGTTCATAAGCAGCCATCCCATGCGTCCTATTTCCCCCCCTGTCCTCCTCCCCTCTCCCTAGTTAGTAGCAGTGCCGTCCGTGTGCCTGCTCCCTGTGTGCCCCTCTGCCTGCTGAGCCTTTTCCAGCTCCCCATTTCTTCCCCCGTCCCCCATCACTTCCCCCTTCGTGTTCATTCCACCCCCCCCCCCCCCCCCCCCCCCAGCTAGCAGCAGTGCACTACGTGCGCCTGCTGCCTGTGTGCCCGCCTGCCCTGCCGCTGTCAGCATATGTGTGTGAGGGAGGGGAGGCCTTGCTTCGCCCCACCCATGGGCTTGGGCGGCAGCAGGCAGGGGGGCAGCAGGGAGAAATGGAAGAAAATGCTTGTGCGAGAGGGTGGAGGGCGGCAGGGGATAGAATGGATGGGCATGCATCAAGGGATGGCGATGGTAGGGAGGGTTCTGGTGTGCTGCATGAAAGGGAGGAGGAGGAAGAAGCGGTTAGTGGTGGGAGGGAGGAGGCGGAAGCGTGTCCGATGGAGGAAGAGGAGAGCGGAGGGAACAAGGGTGAGGAAGAAACGGGAGGAGGAGAGAGAGAGGCAGAAGGGATTGCAGAGGAGGAGGAAACTGGAAAAGAGTGTGCAGAGAAGCATGTGGGTGGGCGGAAGGAGTGGTGGCAGGAGGTGCTAGAAGCGTTTAGGGAGGAGGAGCGTGAGGTGGAGAGGAGCGCAGTGGAGGGGTGCTGGACGGTGGGGCGTGGAGGCGGGGAGATGAGATGTGATGACCAAAGGGGAGAGTGTGAGCGAGTGAATGGTGTGAGCATGGAAGGGAGTGGTTGGAGTGATGAGGATTTGGAAGAGAGTGAGAGAGAAGGGGACGGGAGGGCAGAGCACAGTGAATTGAGAAGTGCAACGAGGAGGGAAGGGGGAGCGAGTGGAAATGAGACAGGTGTAAACAAGGCGAGTGGAGACATGGCGAGTGGTGACGAGTGGATGGAAGGTGATGATGATGGGGGCACAGAGGCATGGAGGGAGGGGAGTGGATGGGATGATGAGGATGAGTGCATGCGAGAGGGGCAGGAAGGGCAGGAGGGGCAGGAGAGTCAGGAGGGGCGTGCACGAGAGGAGAGTGAGGCGGAGAGGGAGGAGGAGAGTGAGAAGGAGAGGGAGGAGAGTGAGGAGGGGAGGGAGGAGGAGAGGGAGGAGGAGAGTGAGGAGGAGAGGGAGGAGGAGAGGGAGGAGGAGAGGGAGGAGGAGAGTGAGGAGGAGAGGGAGGAGGAGAGGGAGGAGGAGAGTGAGGAGGAGAGGGAGGAGGAGAGTGAGGAGGAGAGGGAGGAGGAGAGGGAGGAGGAGAGTGAGGAGGAGAGGGAGGAGGAGAGTGAGGAGGAGAGGGACGAGGAGTGGAAGGAGGAGAGGGACGAGGAGAGTGAGGAGGAGAGTGAGGAGGAGAGTGAGGAGGAGAGTGAGGAGGAGAGTGAGGAGGAGAGGAACGAGGAGAGGAACGAGAAGAGGAACGAGGAGAGGACCGAGGAGAGGACCGAGGAGAGGGACGACAGCGGAAGGGAGGGCAGCAGGCAGAGGCAGCGCAGGGTGTGTGGGGCGTGTGGGTGCGACACGGAGAGGCACGGCGTGCTGGTGGCTCGGCTGCTCTGCTCCCTCGGTAACTAACCCTCGTGCCGCCGCCCCACACCCTTCCTCCTCCGCCCCACGCCCCTCTCCTTCCCCCTCCCCATGCCCCCTCTTCCTCCGCTCGCCTTCCCGCCCTCATCATTGTGCATTTCAGCACCGCACTCTTGCCCATCGTATCTTTCACTTCTCCCCCATCGTATTTTCACTCTCCCCCATAGCCTTTTCACTCTGCCCCATCGTCTTTTCCCCCTCCTTCCTTCCCCTCCCCCTTTCCCCTCCCCCATTCCCCTCCCCGCTCCCTCTTTCCCCTCACCCTTTCCCCTCCTTTCCCGTCAACCTTTTCCCTCCCCCGCTCCCCATTCCCCCTCCCTCCCCTGCAGACAACGGCAACCGCACCTTCCGAGCAGCTGCCAGTGGCTCCGAAGCGGCGCTTCTCCTCTTCGCCGCCTGTCTGCCGCCCCTCCCGTGCTCCTGCCACCCATGCCGGACGGCACGGCTTGGCGCATCTGCAAATTCGGCATGGCAGGCAACAGAGGGATGGGCGCGAAATGCAAGGGGAGGGGGCGTGAGGGAGGCGGACGGGAGGGAGGCGGAGAGGAGGGCGGCGGAAGGGAGGGCGGTGGTGGGGTGGGGAGACGTGCAGCTTTTGAGTCGACTGGAAGGCCAGCAGGGTGTCAAAGCAGGGGAGATGTGGAAGGCGGAGTGGAAGGAGGTGCAGCGGCGGGTGCGGAGACTGGTATGTGAGCGGGGGGTGGTTGAGGTCGGGGTGGGTAGCATGGGATGGGGCGAGGAGGGGAGGAGGACAGGGGGATGGAAGGAGGGGAGTGGTGCGAGGAAGAGGGGTGCTTCTGATGTGGAGAGTGGGTGTGGTCAGGATGTAAGGCAGGAGAAAACGGAGGAGGAGAAGGAGATGGAGGCAGCAGAGAGGGGGTTAACTGGGGCAGGTGCTTCTCGGAATGTGCAGGTGGCATGTGGAGTGATGGGCGTGAGTGGGGCATTGCCGTCAGCTGCACAGGCGCACGTACAAGATGCGGCAAACGTGTGGACAAGCAGAGCAGAGGGGGCAAGCAGGGCAGGGGGGCCACATGCATGCTTACTGCCAAACTCTTTGCTGGGTGCTGCTGCAACAGTGGAGGGGCGGGAAGTGGATGGGAGGGAGGAGGAGGGTAGGGAGGAGGAGGGTAGGGAGGAGGAGCGAAAGGAGGAGGAGGGGAGGGCGGAGGCAGGGGAGGTGCAAATAGGGGAACGCCCTCTGCTGGCGCTGCTGATGGCCATGGCTGTGCGACAACGTCCCCAGGTACCGTGGCATGAAATGGCAGGGCGGGGGATGGCAGGGTTGGGGGATGGCAGTGTGGGGAATGGCAGGGTGGGGGATGGGTGGGTGGGAGACGGTAGGCCGGGTGATAAGAGGGTGGGCAATGGAAGGGCTTGAAATCAAGGGCGCCTCTGCAGCGCGTGGGAGGCCTCCAGGTGGCAAATAAATAACCTCTCTGCATCTGTGCTTCATAAAGTGTGTCCCTAGATGACAAATAAGCTCCCCTGTGCTTCGCTCTCCCTGTGCTTCGCTCTCCCTGTGCTTCGCTCTCCCTGTGCTTCGCTCTCCCTGTGCTTCGCTCTCCCTGTGCTTCGCTCTCCCTGTGCTTCGCTCTCCCTGTGCTTCACTCCCGCTGTGCTGTCCTCCCTCAGATGGTTCACCTCCTGCCAGCCACTGACTCCTCGCCCTGTGCACCACAAAACAGGCTGCAGTGGACAGTTGTGCAAGTCTCTGCAGTTGACCCCTTGATAGAAGCGTATAGGTCCCTACAGGCACTGATGCCACTTGCTCCTACAAGTGCACGGACAGATGCACTAATGGATGCACCAATGGAAGTTTGAAGATATCAAATCTGCCCTGTTACAGAAGATAGAAACAATGCGTGCGTTAAAACAAGTCTGCACTGGCAAACTAGGTACCTAAATCTCCTGTAAGCCCCTGAGCTTGACAACTGGTTGGGAAATGCTTTCTTGAACGTGCACATGATTCTTTCAATGGGGAAAGTTGATTATTTTCAAACTACCGTTCGGCAGCATGGTATAGGCGTTCACAGTCCTTGCTCTAACACACCAAACACCCTCAGTCCTCACCCTCAAATCATCCTCCCAAACATCACTTCCACCTCCACTTCCCCTCATCCCTCCTCCCACCCCTCCCGTCCACCCTCCACTCCTCCTCCTTGCCCCTCTTCACCCTCTTTGCCCTCCTCGCCTTCCTTGCCATCACCGTGCGGGCTTCTGAGCGGACAGCATGATGTACTGGGCGCGGATGTCGGAAGTGTAATTTTCCATCCCTGCCAGCCCCATCAGCTCCTCCAGTTCCTTCCCCCTCTCCTCGCCCTCCCTGCTCTCCCCACCATCACCGTGAGGCCTTCTGAGCAGAGAGCATCACCATTATCTTGCCCATGTGGTTCGGTCACCATGGTTATCTTGCCCATGTGGTTCGGTCACCATGGTTATCTTGCCCATGTGGTTCGGTCACCATGGTTAGAGCGTGTTCCGACGGCCTCATATCAGGCAACCTCGTATCAGATTCGCGTCGAACCGCACTAAAACGCATCCAACCGCAATCGAACACATTGCAACGTATTTCACCACGTGAAGCTGATACGAGGTGTGTCTGATACGAGGTGTAGGAACACGCTCTTATCCCGCCCATGCGGTTCGGTCACCATGGTTATCCTGCCCATGCGGTTCGGTCACCATGGTTATCCTGCCCATGTGATGAAGGCGGGGTCGATCGCCATGGCTCCAGACGGGTCGAGTGGGGGATGTGTGCATACCGCATGGGTGCTGTGTGCCCTCCTGTCCTGCCAAACCTTTGTGGTGACAAAGCCTGCACTCGCTCGTGACAAAGCCTGCACTCGCTCGTGACAAAGCCTGCATTCGCTCGTGACTGGCGACAACCTCTGCTGTAGCCAGTCACCAGCCCTGGTCACCATTCCTCCCTCTCCTTCTCCACCCCCATTTCCCGTCTCCAATCTCTGGTGGTCTTGTCAAGCCTTTTCTCCGTGCTTCAGTCTCTGCGTCTTCGAGCGCTGGTTTTGGTTCTGCCTTGATTCGGACATCATCCCATTCCCCCATTCTGGCATCACCGCTTTCCCCCATTTCCCCATTCCAACATGCTGGCATCACCACTTTCCCCCATTCCCCCGTTCCCCCATTCCCCCATTCTGGCATCACCGCTTTCCCTCCCCCATGGTGGCATCACCACTTTTCCCCATTCCCCCATTCCCGCATTCTGGCATGACCACTTTACCCCATTCCCCCATGCTGGCATCACCGACTTCCCCCATTCCTCCATTTCCCCATGCTGCCATCACCGCTTTCCCACATTCCCCCATTCCCCCATGCTGGCATCACCGCTTTTCCCCATTTTGGCATCACCGACGTATAACAAGATTGATCGTGTTAACAAGGACAACATACAAGCAATGACGATTGCAGACCAAGATTCTACCTATTCTACCAGCTCTGCCTTCCTCCGGTGCCTGTCCCATCCTTCCCTAGCTAGCCGCTTGTAGCTATCGTTACCTACGAGCAGGCTTGCATCCAAGCTGCTTCTTGCCACCTTGCAACCCCTCTAGCTACTTTGCCTCCAGCTTGCACTGTTCAGTTCCAGCTGGCTCCTTGGCGCAATCCTGCACAAATGGGAAAACAAACATGCATGCACACGAACACGCTTCCAAGTACCAGTGTAACACCTTCTCTCACATTGCCGCTGCCTTGCACTGTAACTCCCTTCTGCTGCCCGCCCATGCTTACGTAAGTACCGCCACTACCCCTTTACATGCAACTCCGTCACCCTTCGCTTCGGCAGGCGCCAATCTTCCCTTTACTTCTTACCTCCTCAAAACCGTCGCTTGACCCTTCGAAATCCATCCTCCTTGCTCGCCAGGTTCGCTATGTACAGTATGTACAATATGCACATTCCCTCCACTACACTCTTCCCACTATACACATTCACATAAATGTGACAATAATGGTATTGGTAATGGTAGTGGTAATGGTGATGGTAATGGTAATGGTAATGGTAATAGTAATGGCATTGGTAATGGTAATGGTAATGTTAATTGTAATTGTAATAGTAATGGTAATGGTAATGGTAATCATAGTGATAGTGGTAATGGGAATAGTAATGATACTGGTGATGGTAATGGTAGTGGTAATGGCAGTCGTAATGGTAATAGTATTGGTTATGGTAATGGTAACGGTAGTGATAATGGTAATGATAATGGTAATAGTAATGGTAATGGAAGTGGTAGTGGTAATGGTTGTGTTAATGGTAATTGTAGTGGAAATGGTAGTGATAATGGTAATGGTAATGGTAATGGTAATGGTAATGTTAATGTTAATGGTAATGGTAGTGGTAATGGTAGTGGAAATGGTAATGGTAATGGTAATGGAAATGTTAATGGTAATGGTAGTGGTAGTGGAATGCAAATGGTAGTGGTAATGGTAGTGGTAGTGGTAATGGTATTGGTTGTGGTAGTGGTAATCGTAATGGTAATGATAATGGTAATGGTAGTGGTAATGGTAATGATAATTATAATGGTAGTGGTAATGGTAATGGTAATGGTAATAGAAATGTCAATAGTAATAGTAGTGGTAGTGGAATAGAAATGGTACTGGTAATGGTAGTGGTAAAAGTAATGGTATTGGTTGTGGTAATGGTAATGGTAATGGTAATGGCAATGGTAATGGTAATGGTAATGGTAATGGTGATGGTAGTGGTAATGGTAATGGTAATAGTAGTGGTAATGGTAATGGTAACGATAATGGTAATGGTAGTGGTAGAGGTAATGGTAATGATAATGGTAATGATAATGGTAATGGTAATGATAATGATAATGGTAATGATAATGGTAATGGTAATGATAATAGTTGAGGTAATGGTAATTGTAATAGTAATGGTGGTGGTAATGGTAATGGTAATGGTAATGGTAATGGTAAGAGTAATGGTGGTGGTAATGATAATGGTAATGGTAATGGTAATGGTAATGGTAATGGTAATGGCAATGGTAATGGTAATGGAAATGGTAATGGAAATAGTAATGATAATGGTAGTGGTAATAGTAATGGTAATGATAATGGTAATGGTAATGGTGATGGTATTGGTAATGGTAATGGTGATGATAGTGGTAGTGGTAGATGTAATGGAAATGGTAGTGGTAATGGTAATGGTAATGGTAATGGTAATGTTAGTGGTAGTGGTGAAGGTAACGGTAATGGGAATGGTAGTGATAATGGTAACGGTAATGGTATTGGTAATGGTACTGATAGTAGTAATGGGAATGGTAATGGTAATAGTAATGGTAATGATAATGGTAATGGTAATGGTAATGGTAATGGTAGTGATAATGGTACTGGTACTGGTAATGGTAATGGTAATAGCAATTGTAGAAAAAATTGAAGTTATAATGGTAATGGTAATGGTAATGGTAATGGTATTGGTAGTGATAATGATATTGATAATGGCAATGATAGTGATAATGGTAATGGTAATGATAGTGGTAATGGTAGATGTAATGGTAATGGTAATGGTAATGGTAATGGTAGTGGTAATGGAATGGTAATGATAATGGTAATGGAATTGGTAATGGTAGTGGAAGTGGTAGTGGTAATGGTAATGGTAGTGGTAATGGTAATGGTAGTGGTAATAGTAATGATAACTGTAATGGTAGTTGTATTAGGAATGGTAGTGGTAATGATAATGGTAATGGTAATGGTAGTGGTAATGGTAATAGTAATGGTAATGGTAATGAGTAATGGTAATGGTAGTAGTAGTGGTAGTGGTAATGACAATGGTAGTGGTAGTGGTGGTGGTAGTGGTAGTGATAATGGTACTGATAATAGTAATAGTAATGGTATTGGTAATGATAATGGTAATGGTAGTGATAGTGGTAGTGGTAATGGTAATGGTAATGGTAGTGGTAACGATAGTGCTAGTGGTAGTGGTAATGGTAATGGTAATGGTAATGGTAGTGATAATTGAATGATAAAAGTAATGGTAGTGATAATGGTTCTGGTAATGGTACTGGTAATGGTAATGGTAATGATGATGGTAATGGTGATGGTAATAGTTTTAGTAGTGATAATGGTAATGGTAATGGTAATGGGAATAGTATTGGTAATGGTAGTGGTAATGGTAATAGTAGTGGTAGTGGTAACGGTAATGGTAATGGTAATGGTAGTGATAATGGTAATGGTAATGATAATGATAATGATAATGGTAATGGTAATGGTAATGGTAATGGCAATAGTAGTGGTAATGGTAATGGTAATGGTAGTGGTAATGTTAATGGTAGGGTAATGGTGGTGGTAGTGCTAGTGATAATGGTACTGATAATGGTAATAGTAATGGTATTGGTAATGATAATGGTAATGGTAGTGGTAGTGGTAGTGGTAATGTTAATGGTAATGGTAATGGTAGTGATAATTGAATGGTAATAGTAATGGTAATGGTAATGGTTCTGGTAATGGTACTGGTAATGGTAATGGTAATGGTAATGATGATGGTAATGGTGATGGTAATGGTAATAGTAGTGGTAATGGTAATGGTAATGGTAATGGTAATGGTAGTAGTAATGGTAATGGAAATAGTAATGGTATTGGTAATGGTAGTGGTAATGGTAATGGTAGTGGTAGTGGTAACGATAATGGTAATGGTAATGATAGT